GGTGGCGCGCACCGGCTGGCGGCGGCAGCGGCAACGGACGGCGTTTGACGCACGCCCGGCGATAAGGCACACCCCAAGGTCCGCGTCCGCGCCAGCCGGCTCGCCAGCCAGCCAGCCCGCTCGCTCGCCCGCCCGCCCGAGCGACGGCGCTCAGTACACGTAGATCTGCTTGAGCTGGTCCCGCACCTCGGCGGGCAGCGTGTACGGGTCGCGCTCGGGCTTACGCCTCACAAGGCGGCGCCAGCGGCCACGCAGCGAACGCCGGAAGCCTCTGCAGAAGCCCGACCGCTCCGCCGGAAGTACCCCGTGGACGGCTGCATCCTGTGGGCGAAGGAAGCGGTTACACACAGTCGGTCGCCACGTGCGCGGGAAGGGGACGGGATGTGGGGAATGCGATTGCTGCGGAGGTCCTTCAAGAAAGACTGCTGCGCAAAAGCGCCACGATATGAAAACTTACACGATTTAATGCCCCAAGAATATAAAATAATTTTACTTTTCGCAACGTCAATATCACTAGACACCTGGGAAAGGTGTCCCTTTAATGTAATAGTTGAACTGAACTTTTTTTGGTCACATCACATCCATTTTCTACAGTCCCAAAAACGTGCAAGTCCGTTTACGAATAACCTGAAGATAACTATTTTCGGTTCACCAATGAATTCCCTCACAAGTAATCCATCTTTAAAAAATTTAACCGACACGCACGAGTTCACTTTCCTCGCCGGGCGGAGGCAACGGCCGGCCGGCTGCCGTCGCCATGCTAGCCACTCGACGGCCGGTTGTTGCCCTCCGCCCTTGGCCGAACGCGTCTCGGGGGGGGGGGGGGGCGCTGGGCGCGCGTGGCAATGGAGAGGGCTACGCGTACCTGTTCCGTGCCGTACAGCGAGTAGGGCGCGGGGTACTGCCACAGCAGGGGCGGTGGCGCGGGGGCGGCAGGCGCCGCCCCGTTGGAGGTCGGAAGAGGCGGCGGCGCAGGCACCGGCGCGCCGGTGATGGGGTTGACGACGAGGCCTGCCGGCGCCGCCGCGACGGCGCCGGGCAGGCTGCTGGTGGCGCTGGGCACCGTCAACGGCGCGACGTCGCTGCCGAAGATGGTGGCGATGGTGACGGGCTGCGCGGGCGCCGGCGCAGGCGCAGGTCCCGTCGTGTGCAGCACCACTTCCTGGGCGGCCGCCGTCTCGTCTCTCTTCCGTAGTTTGCTGCGAACCAAGCGCACCGCTAGTAACGTTGCGGTCGCGCCCACCATCTTTCGGCGCTGGTGTTTGTGCAGGAAGGAAAGCAGCTTGTCCGCGAGGGTGGAAATTTTGGCGACGAAAAAGGACCGACGCGGCGAAAAGCGGCGCGGCGGTGTCAGCGGCGCGGTGCGACTGAACTGCGGTTGGCGGCGTGGGCACTCGGAGCGGGGCCCGAGTCGCTAAAACGTGTGGGCGTGTCTTTACGAACTTTCTATCCCAACACGCAAACGCGAGATGCGGCGTCGGAGGCGACCACGCGTAAATGCAGCAGCAACAGAAGCCGAAAGCCCGCCCCGAACGGACGCGAGAGCGCCCTGCTCTCAGCCGCCTAAGACGGTCGCCGCCTGCCGTCCGCCGACGACTCCACCGCCGTTGAAGGCAGCCGCAGCATGAGCTGGCAGCGCGCCGCTCGCGCCCAATATATACGGGCTGTGACGTCACGCGCCGCGCGCCAATCGCAGGAGAGAGCGCAAGGAGAGGGGCACGTTCGAACGGACGTTCGCGCGCGACGCCGTCGCCGCTGTCGTGCGCAACGGTGCGCCCGGCGGCGGCGGCGGCGGCGGCGGCAGAGGCGGCAGAGGCGGGGAGCCGCGATAAAAAACAAACAAACGCGCCGGAAACCCCCGGCCGCTCCGGCGGGAGGCCGCCGTGGACGAAAGAGCTTTCCACGAAGCGGGAGGCCGTTTTCCTTCGGCGCGCGACAGAGAGCGCGGTCGTGGCCACGGAGCCGGGCCCACGCGCGGGGGCGAAGCGGGCTGTCGCACCTAGCGGCTGCTCGCGGGGATCCACGCGGCTCTAACCAGGGCGCGCGCGTCGCCAACAGGTTTCCTGAGAATTCTCTGAACGTGTGCGCAGGAAGAAGGAAACGCGACGGAATTTCGTCTCGCGCCCGTCGGCTGTGCTGGCGCCTTCTGCGGAATGCTTTTATCGGCTGAATGTTATCACGTGGCGCTATCGCGATACTGTGTTTATTGAAAAAGGGTTCTAGGAACGAATGCGAAACAACAGTCACGCGCAGTGCTGGTGCAAATTTGTTTAGGTAGGCCACCTCACCCCTTTAGACCATGGGCAAGTCACAAACAGGACTTTGTTCCGTTTCGTATTTTCCTCGTGACGGATTTGAGGCGTTACAAGCTGATAGGATATCGAACTGGATTAAGGATTAGAGGGTATTTATCAGGTGACCGAATGAAAGATCGCTGTCTTTACATTAAGACTGCCACGCGATACAAAGATACCTACCTAATGGTAACGGCCAGGAGAACAATGATGAGTGCCACCAGGAGCATGGCGATCACCACCCCACACAGCACGTAGAGGCTATCGTTGGGGGCATCTGCAACAGAAACCTCTCATCAGACCGTTACATAAGCAGTACTTTACTACTAAAGCAGGCTTTACTACTAAAAATATTTATATTATTAGCGATCAGCTTACATATGGTATAATTGCCATTGCATTTTTAACGTAAAACGTGTCTGAAACGTTGACACTATTTTTCATTCCGATTGTTTGGTGCAAATCAAGTTGTGTCAAATACTTCGACAACTTTCGCAGCTATTCATCCAACGCGCCAGCGATGCGAATGCACTCGTGGCATCGCGCGACAGCGCTTCCACGCGAGTTTCTTTCGCCGCTGAAAGAGTCGCTAGGTGCGCCAGCAGGTAGGTCGACGGCGCGGCAGGCAGAAATACTCGCACCAGGGCTCGGGTTCGGGCGCGGGCACACACGCGCCGGTGGCGGCGGCGGCGGCCTCGGGGCGCGGGCCGAGGCCACCTCGCGAGGCCGCCCCCGCCGCCCTCGCCGCCGGCCGTCGCCTCGCCTCCGCTGCAGCCGCCGCCGCCGCCGTCCCGGCTATTTCCGGTCGGCGGCTGAGCAGGCCTGGCAGAGCACAGGCTGCGCGGGTGGCAGGCGTGGCGGCGCACGCGGTGACAACGTGGTTGTCGTGCAGGTGGCGGCGAGGAAGGAGGTGGAACAGGCCAGGGCACCAAAACAATAACAGAATGAATGCCTAGGAGCATATTACAGGACGTAGTGCAGTAGTACCTATCTGTTAAGATAGTGCGACGAATTCGGAGAGTGCGTCGAATCAATCGTTGTTGAGGTAAGCAAGGCGGAGGGCGGCAGTAACGGTTGCGTCTTCGTTAACGCCGGTTCGGCGCCTTGCCCTAGGGCGAGCTGATCGCCCCGTTGCGAATCGAGGCGCGAAGGCGTCCGACATCGTACGGCTCAACGGCCGTCACCTCCCCTCGACGTCGCGTGGTGACGTAGCTTCACGTGCAACCCGCGACATTCTTGCCTCAGGCGACGTTGCAACAGCGCGGGCGGCGACGGTGGCGGCGGTCGCTGCGAGGCCCTCGCCCGTCGCTCTCCCCGTCCTAACGGGAGGAAAAGCAGGTAACACCCCGCCACGCAGGCGGCGGGCGCGGAGGGGACAGAGCCGCCCTTCTTCTTCTTCTTCTTTTACGTTGCCGCCGCCCGCTCGCCCGCGTCGGGAGGCCCGAATCCGAAATTGAACGCGGCTGCCCTCCGCGACTCTTCACCCGCCCGCCCAGCCGGCGGCGGCGGCGGCGGCGGTGGCGCCGGGGGCGCGCTCCCCTCGGCCGTCTGGGCCCCGCGCCTCCGAGCGTCGGGGGCCGCGGCGCCCCCGTTGCCGTTGGCCGCCCGCTCGCCTCCGAGGGGGCACCCGCCGCGGCACCGACCGCCTTCGCTCGCGGCTGCGCTCCCAAGCTTTCTTTGTCGGGGCGCGCGCGGGGGCTACACGGCTCCGAGCAAGGAGGGCTGGCGGGCCGTAAACCGATATCTCCGGCTGCCAAGCGGTCGATGCATCCTCGCGTGCCCCGCCTTCAACGCCGCTGGGAAATGGTTTCGGAGCAGCTCCACACGCCCTCTCTGGGTGCTTAGCCGCCACAAGTTGATTATTAGTGCATTCGTTTACAGGAAAGACACTTCAGCAGAGTACACAAAGGCTGCTGTGGCCACATGATGTAAAGGCCGCGACTGCAGTAAACGAAGATCTACATTGGTTGAGGACAACCAAAACGAATCAGATTATTTATCTTTAGTCAAACTGATGACATTTTAAAAGAATGTCCTTCAATATCTTTAAAGTATACAATTAAGCTCACGTTGAATGTTTCCACACACTGTACATAGGTGGAATACATAGACCTTAAAAATATGTGGGCTTGAAACGTACTACTTCCTTGCTAAAGTGCTAAAATGGCGTAGTGTATGAGCAAATAATATAAAATTTTAGAAACAATTAAAACAAATTTAATCATTAATTTTGTTTGTTTTTAAATTGTAAATCATATTCTGCAATATTAACCCACCCATAAACTTCGTGCATAAACATCTTCCGCCTAGACTCAATAGTTTCAGACAATTAGAAACATCGAAATTTCATAAAATACTATACTAACTCAGAAACATAAGGCTAAATGAAGCATGTTTAGATATCGCTTTCCTAAACAAGAATTTCACTCAACGCATAATAATGAATTATTTTCACTTTATTGTACCGATAACTTCATAATTACTTCGCTATTGCGTTAAATCATTGATAACTTCGATCACTGAAACCTATCACGGAGTATATCATTTTCAATTGCAAGTGTATTTCAATCTGTCCAAACTACAAGAGGCATGTGCCTGGTTCGTGAAATTGGCGCTGATTAGATAGGCTTCACGGGTGTAGCTGGAGCAGCATCTTCCACAGGTGAAACGCAGCGGCGCGGTTGCTTTGCTGCGCCCCTAGTAACCGCGGCATGTACGTGAGGCAGCCTCCGGTAATTGCGTTAACGAGCGGGCTCCGAGAGCGCGTAGAAATTCGCGTGATCGCTGTAGGACGATGAGGCACGGCGCGGCGTCTGCCCGTCCAGGGGAAAACGAGGAAAAAGTGCCGCAGAGGACTCACTGATCAGTGAGCGTGAAGCAACGCAAACGTTTGTAATACTCGTTGCGTACGTATCCCTGCGTTGTACCACATCATATCCAAGAGCACTTCGCATGTTTAAAGAACTGTTTCAACCTGTTTGTATATATCACCATTTCCGTCACCAGAATAGAAAATCCCCTGAAGAATAATCGAGCGAAAATTTGATTTTTATTATTTCAATAATTTATTTATTTATTATTTTTTTTCCTTGTATTTTTGCTCTGATGTTTTCGTATTATTTTACATTCATGAGGTTCAAACACCGGTAGTGAATAGTGCATGCATAGAAGCTGAAACGTGGGAATGCCTTTATAGGGGCCGGCAGCCCTCACGGTGCCTCCCCAGAACCACGGCAACAGTGACCCTCCCTCTCGGATACCTACCAAACGGCGTCCCCGCTCCGCCGCCCCGCGTTCGGAACGCAAAAAGGTCTCCTTCCCAGGAACTGAGTTGTAACGGCTGGTTTTCTAGACGGAGAATCACACAAGCGTCGTTGCAAGTACATGACTAAAAAACAAAATTTAGCTTATTGTTTTTATATCATCGCGTATCTGTTTAATAGCACTTGTTATATGACAGAATAATATGAAGTAAACGAAAACTTCCCTATTGCTGTATTCTATAAATCAATTTCCAAAATAGGGTAAGACTGTTCAACAAGATATTATTGTCGCCCGGATGACCGGAATCGTAAAGGCAGTAATACCGTAGCGATGTCGGTCTGAAGGATCGCGGGTTCGAGTCCCGTCTCGGGCATGTTTGTATTTGTATTTTTCCTCTGACCCCCTCACCATTACCATACCACATCAAACTGATTGTTTAATCTACAGTGGTCGCTAACGACCTAGCTGTTGATGCGACCTTAAACAAAAAAATATAATAAGTTGAATTTAAATAATCGTTTAGTTTGATAGGGAATATTCTACTCACTAAATGAACTTCTGGTTGATAGGATGTGGATAGAAAAGTCTATTGTAACATTTTGTCTTCCAACTTACATTCTATCTTCCTATTCGATCAAATGTAATCAAAAGCTCCAAAACTTACTGGCGAGTAAAATCTTCAAAATATTTTCTACTTCCGTAAGAAGTTCTTCCTTCAGAAGAAGCTTGCATAACGTGTCAAAGAAGACATTTTTCCTTTCATTATAATAGACAAAGCTGATCTTCGGGAGTCTTCCTGCTGATCACAGTGAGTCATGGTACCTTGAACATTGGAGCGATCTTGGCCACTCTAAATGTGCAGGCGCTGCCCAAATAGTAAGATGTGACTCATAAGGAAGGACTATGTAATTGGTTCGAAACTTACTATGAAGCGCGTCAGCATTCTTTGTTGCTCTCCATCCACTTTATAAGAATATTATTTACATTTTATTAAAATAATCAGCAGTAGTTATGGTAAACTGTATTGTGAGCACTGATAAAAATAGGAAACTTCACTTTCGAAGAAATGCAATTTTGGCCGTAATTAATAGTAATTAATAACCACGTACTAGTTCTGAAGTGCAAACAATGTGAGATTGCGACTCACCAATTACGCACTAACAAAATTCATTGATCACGTATTTGGATTAACCAACTTATTAAACAATAGTCAATGTACTCTGACACATCCGTGTATCGCATGACCATGTCTGTCTCAAAGCTAAAATCCCAACTTAGCTGGCGGTTAACAGCCACATTGTCGCTCCTTCAGTAATCCTCAAACACAACTGTGGTGCCCCTCGTCTCAATTTCTTTGAAACCCTTCCAATCGACGCCATGGAGCTACTCTTCGCCACAAGCCACTTCGCCACTAGGTGTAACTGGCTCCACCCAGTTGCGTCCGCCTCTCGTCGCCAACAGAATACGCCACGCTACGCCACGCCACGCCACTCCGGCGCGCCGTTCTGGGCGTAACCCTGACAACTGTGCCGGCGACGCCCAGCACCTTTACCACTTTAGATTCGATTCGAAAGATCGGGTGTCGACGACAGGAAGCACAAAATGACAGAAGAAAATCAAAACTGACCATAGACCGTGGGGAGAATGATATTGGTGATAAATGGAAGAATCGGAGATTGGAACTGTGAGAAAGAAGACATAGTGTGTGTGTGTGTGTGGGGGGGGGGGGGAGGGAGTTCGGGAGGCAACAGTTTCTTATCGAAGATGGATCAATGTGAGGCAGGCAGTAGACGTTAGCAGATCATCTGAGAAGAAGCTGAAATGAGACGAAATAACAGTGAGGAATGATTTCGAATTAAGAGGACTTTAAACGTAATGAGTCGGATCTGACTCGCAGTCCGATATGAAGTGTTTAGAAGAACTGAAATCGAGATGACAAACAGCAATGAGAACAAAAGCCGAGGCGGGTGGGGGAGCGGGAAAGCCAACGGCGCGTGGCCAGCTGCACCGGAGGGGCTGCGGCTGCTGCGGCGACGGCGTCATCGGTGTCGGGGTCTTTCGCGGGAAACGCCGCGTGTGACTGGCCGCCGGCGGCGCCATGGTGCTCCCGCACGGCTCGCCGCGCTCCCCGCCCCCAC